CAGAATAAGGTTTCTACTAAGCTGTAAGTGAGAAATAACATTGATTCAGGAAAAAGAAAAAATAAAAGGAAGCACCTCACCCCATCCCTTTCCTTAAAAAACAAAACAAAACAAAACAAAACAAAATGCAGCTGCAGGCAGGCCTGGAGGCCCTTTGTGTATCAGGCCAGGCTTTGGTGACACATTACAGGGCACACAAAAAGTGGTCCCTGTGCCATACACCACAGCCTGTCCTGTACCTTACAGGGACACCAGAGCTGACAGCTGGAGGCACAGCTCTGTCACCCACAACCCTGCACTGCTGAAACGTCTTGGACACAATAAACTGCATTGTGGAGAGCTGCCTGGGCTCCTGCATCCCCCATTTCGGCTCTTACAGCCTCAGGTGCCCCATGCACCTCCAGGTGCCAGCCAGCACCCAAGGGAGCTGGGCCCCAAAACTGGGGGCACCAAACTGGGCCAGGCACCCCCAGCCCCTCCGGCCACGTGCTGGACCTGGGCAGTGCCAGGACCCCAGACCAGCCCCCACCGGCCAGGAAATGCCACAGCTGGATCCCAGAAAGGAGAGAGTCCTGCAACTTCAGTCCAGCAAAGGGACAGGCCACTGGGGAACGTGCCCAAGGGGCTTTTCTTTCTCCCTTTCTCTCCCTTTCTCCCTCTCTCTCCTGATTTTTTCTCTCATTCTCTCTCCCTCTCTCTCTCCCCCAGTTTTTGCTCTCTTCCTCTCCCTCTCTCCTGTTTTTTCCTCTTTTTTTCTCTCTCTCTCCTATTTTATTCTCTCTCTCTCCTTCTCCTGTTTTTTTCTCTCTCTTTGTCCCTCCCACTCTCTCCCTTCTTCTCTCCCTCTCCTGGGTTTTTCTTTCTCTCCCTCTCTCTCCCCTGCTTTTTCACTCTCCCTCTCCCTTTTTTTCTCTCTTCCTCTCCCTCCTCCCCTCATTTTTTTTCTCTCTTTTTCCTTTTTCTCTCTCTCCCTCCTTCTCTCCCTCTCTTTCTCTCCCATTTTTTTTCCTTTCTCTCTCCCTCCCATTTTATTCTCTCTCCCTCTCTCTCTTTCTCTCTCCCTCCCTTTCTCTCAGGGCTGCAGCCTCCTTTAATCCCAAACTACCAAACCTTCCTGAGCCACCTGCCCCCTTTCCCCCCTGGACCTGTTCTTTTACCCCAAAATTCAGAAACTCTTGTGCAGACCCCAGCGTGCCTGGGCTGTGCAACAAACCTGCCCCAAGTCAGCAGAGACACAAACCCACCCCAAAGCTTCACACCCACAGCTTCACCCCTCAGACTGTCTGTGAACACATCAGCTTTCCTCCCAGACTCTTAGTTGCCTTTGGTTTTATTCCTTTACCACTGTACCATTTCTTTTTCACATTAAAGTGAAGCAATGAATTTCCCCATTGCCAGGGAAAGACGGCTTCAGTATTTTTATAATGCTCCTTTCTGGTTCAGTCTTGGTTTTTACATTCTGCTTGGGACTTTGCTAGATAATAAACAAAGTGGGCCTGATTCCTTGGGAAATAAAATATACAAAAGTGATTTAGTGCTGGCTTCCCAGACTTGCTCATAAGAAGTTTCCTGAAGCAAACTGGTATTTCAAAACCTGCTCCCGAAATGTATATTCATCTCTGAGATGAAAAGAAAAGATTCTGGAGCAAATAATCCACCACAAAGATGCAGCCAGGGGAATATATTTAAGGTAAAAACAATGGCTTAGCAAAACACTTCATTATAGCAGGGAGAGGGCTCAGGCTCTGAGACAAATAAACACATGCAGTGCTGAGTCCTGAGGTGTGAGGGGCATTGAGACTAAATGTGTTTGTGCTCAAAAATGTCACAGCTCTGCTGCAGATCCCTGAGAGCCCTCACACAGCAGGAGCCTTCAGAAAAGGCAGGAGAGGCTTTTCCAGGGGAGCCTGGGGAGCTGGGCCAGCGCTGACCCCCCAGTGAACAGCCCCTTCCCTTTGCCTGCCCTGGAAATGCTCCCTGAAATGTGATTCAATATCCACTCTGCCCTCCTGATTCCATCCCAGAGCCTGACTGAGGCTCACCTGACATTTCCTGACTACCTGCAGAAGCAAAGAGCAGGAGAAAACGAGAACTGTGCTGGAAGGGAAGGGCATCTTCAGCTGGGGATTTCTGTCAGTGCTTCCTCTATTGGGCTGCCATGCAGAAAATGTTCCAGCTGTCAGTGAGGACAAACAAAACGCACTCAAAAGCACAAATGTTCTGGTTTTAGCAACAGCAAGGAGCAGCAGTGGCTGTGACAGGAGGGTTCACGAGCCATGTACAGCCACAGAGTTTATTCCATTCCAGGGATCAGAAGGGACTGAGGCCAGTGTGTCCTCAGTGACAGCAAATGCAACCAATTGTCTCATCCTAAAAACAATTCAGGGGGAAAGAGAAAATGCTGTATTGACCGCAGCTGTGTGCAGCAGAACAAAAGCAGAGCACAAATGGCTACCTGAGATCTCAGCCCTCCACTCCCAGCCCTTTAAAAATGAAAGAAGGAGCTAATTTTACCATTAGGCTTTTTGTCCTTTTATCTCATCCTTTGCCTGTCCCTCCAAAAAGGCTCCTCACTCCAATGTGTCCCACATGAGCCGTGGAAATTCTGAGGCATTATGGAAAAGTAAACTTTGCTGTAAACTTTTACTTTTCTCTTGCCAGGCACTGAGCCCCACCAGGGTCTGTGTCAGTGATGCTGCTCTTTAAAGCACCCCCCAGAACAATTCCTGCTGCTGAGGGCAGTTTTCTGAGGTGCAGTTTCAACCACACACAATCTGTGTATCCATGAACACCTGACACAGCTCCCTCCAGCACCCCCTCTCCTTTAAACATCTCCCTTCATTCCAACAACAGCAAAACATTAAGGGCTCACAGCAATCTCAGTGACAAATCCAACACCTTTGTGCAAAAAAGACACTTCAAAAGCAGAAATCTCACCTGGAGCAGCCACAGCAAGGGAATGAATTCTGTTCCCCACTGCTGCCTGGGGCCTGAATCCTCTCAGCTGCCCTCAATTGCCAGAGGTGATGAGCCCAGCAGCCCCAGGGACTGGCAGGGCAATGCTGCTGCATCTGGAGCTTCCAAAGGCTGCTGGGGGCAGGAAATCACCTCCAGAGCCCAGCAAACACTGCCTCACACACTGGCACATCCAGTGGGGTCCAGCAAAAACTGCCAACACAAACTGCACCTGTGCAGGCCAGGGGTGCTGGTGACTGAGCGCCTTCTGCAGGGCCAGGCTGCCCTGAGCCTTTTGGGACACCCAAAATCCCCCATGGGGCATCAGGCACAGCCTGGACCCCGAGATCCTCCAGGTCTTTTCCAGCCTGAATGATTCTGGGGCTCCAAGGGGCTCCTGGTGAGCAGGGACACGGTGCAGGTGCCCAGATGTGTGTGCTGCTGCCCCAGGGTGTCTCCAGCAGCTCTCACTCCACTCCCCAGCTTTGTGCACATCTCTTAAAGCAGCCAAGAGCAGGGATGGGCCTGGTAACCACCAGGAGATGGAGTTTGTGGGGCAGGGGATGTGTGCAGGGTGAGGAAGCACTGCCTGTGCAGGGATGGGCCTGGCACCATCAGGAAATGGAGTTTGTGGGGCAGGGGATGTGTGCAGGGTGAGGAAGCACTGCCTGTGCAGGGATGGGCCTGGCACCATCAGGAAATGGAGTTTGGGGAGCAAGGGATGTGTGCAGAGTGAGGAAGCACTGCCTGTGCAGGGATGGGCCTGGAACCATCAGGAAATGGAGTTTGTGGGGCAGGGGATGTGTGCAGGGCAATGAAGCGCTGCCTGTGCAGGGATGGGCCTGGAACCTGTGAGGAAATGGAGTTTGTGGGGCAGGGGATGTGTGCAGGGCAATGAAGCACTGCCTGTGCAGGGATGGGCCTGGAACCATCAGGAAATGGAGTTTGTGGGGCAGGGGATGTGTGCAGGGCAATGAAACATTGCCTGTGCAGGGATGGGCCTGCACCCATCAGGAAATGGAGTTTGGGGAGCAGGGGATGTGTGCAGGGCAATGAAGCACTGCCTGCCCAGCCCTGCCTCAGGATTTCCTCCGCTGGGCTCACCACAGCCAGCAGGGTTTGTGTGACACCCAAAACCTGTTTGCACATTTGGAAACCCCGCCCTGCCAGCAGGAACCACTCGGGGATCCCAGGGCAAACTGGCTGCCAGCAGAGCCTGTGCAGAGCTCTGTGCCTCACTGCCTCCATGTGGCACTGCAGGACAGTGCCATTCACACACACAGCCAAAACATCCCTGCACCCCTGGGGTGGCACAGGGATGCCAGAGCTGGCACAGAAATGCTCCGGCTGTTCCTGTACACTCCTGAGGAGGGTGAAGGTCAGGGGTTACTGGAGCCCCTGCAAAGGTCCTTGCTGTCACCAGCTGATCTTTAAGGTCAGACCTGTCAGCCCCAGTTAGAGTTACCCAGGGTCAGCTGCCAGGAGCCCTGGAGATGTTTGGCTGGTTGTGAGGACAGAGACCTGCAGCCCTGGAGATGTTTGGGTGGTGGTTTGTGAGGGTTTGGACAAAGCCCTGCAGCCCTGGAGATGTTAGGTTGGTTGGTTCTGAGGGGATGGACAAAAAAATGACCTAAAGTAACCCATGGAAAAACCAAAAAATTTGCAAATAACTTAGAGTAACCTTTGTGTCCTCAAATGACCCCTATGACCTGGAGTAACCCCGATTGTGACCTCAAATGACCTCTCATGACCCCTGTGACCTAAAGTAACCCGAGTAGGGACGTAAATGACTTTAAATAACCTGTGTTGGTTTGAAAATAATCCCAAATGTCCACTGGACTCAGGCACTGGCCCTACAGGGCTGAACAGGCCTTGCTGAGCCCCCCTTGGCTCCCCAGTTCCCAAATCATCTCCTGGGAATGGGAATCACAGACACGAGCTGAGACAAGTCTTATTTAGGGCTTTATTTTGGTTTAATTGAGGGGAGGAAAGAAACCAATGCACTTTGCCTTTGTTGGGCTGTTCTAGAGCCAGTTCATGTTATGATGAGGAGTTGCTGATGGTGCAGGGCTGCTGTGGGGATTGGTACCTGCTGTTCTTCAGCCCCCAGCAGTCCCACAGCAGAGGCTGATCCGAGGGACCAGGCAGGGCACTCAGCTCTCTGATGGCTCCTGTCTGTGCAGCAGCAATGCCAAAAGCCCAGCGCTGTCCTTTGGGTCTCTGCAGCACTCACTGCTGAGCCGGTCTGTGCTGGGGCTGCAGAGCCTCTGGGCCAGCCACCACGGGCTGTTTGTGCCACTCCTTCCCAGGTAATTCCCTGCAGCTGCTGGGGTCCTCCTGTGAGCCCAGAAATGGAAATGGGATCCACTCCCATGCCCCTTGGTGGCATCAGGGGACACCGAGGGCCAGTGTGCACCACAGCTGTCCCTCTGTGGGTCAGACGTGCCAGGCCATGGACCCACACAGTCCAGGAGATCCAATTCTCCTTCTCCTCCAGCTGGGTGGCAGCAGGGCCCCTCTAATCCTGGTCAGGGTACAGCTGTCTCCTCCTGTAAATGTGCTCCTGAGAACAAGAACTGCTGCTTCACGAGAACCAGTCATGTTATCATTGCTATTCCAGCAGGAGCTGTGTCCACGAGGGGCTGGAGCAGCATTGATGAGCTTCTGGTGGTGGGAGTTCCTCTTCTCAGTTCAGCTCCCCAGGCTGCTGAGGAGGAGGGGGGTTCCCATCCCATGCTCCTGAAAGAGAAAACAGAAATCACCTCGTGGAGTGCATCCTCTCTGCCTGGCTGGGGGACACCTGCTCCTAATGCAGAGACTTGCTGGTTCTGCTGAGATGTGGTAAATCCCTTCCTGAAGTGGCAAATTCATTCCTCAAGTGCTAAATCCCTTCCTGGAGCTCCTCTCTCAGTTTCTGGTGGCCCTCTTCCATTTTCTCTTCCAAGCTCCAGCTGTGCTCAGCCAGCTTTGTTTCCATGGATGAGAGATGGGTGCATAACAGGGCAGTGTCCTTGTAAATTATTAATTTGTTGACCAGTGCTCCCACCTTGTCCTCTCCTTCCCCCACTGCAGCATCTCCAGGTAACAGGAGGATCTCTGGTCCAAGCTGTGCAAATCCCATCCACATCTGCAGCGTGCACTGGACACCCTTGGGGCTCTTAGGGAAGAACAACCTCCTTGTTCCATTGTGCTCCCTCTACCCTGGTGCACCTGGAGGTTTTCTTTACAAAGCACTCGTCCCTTACACTCACCAGCAGTCACTGCCAGGGCCTGAGAGTTCCCTGGCTTCTTCTGATCCCTTGGTTCATGGCCACATCCCAGGAGAGGGATCCCAGCTGCCTGTCCCGAGTGCTGTCACTGGCCAGGGTGGCCTCGTTGGTCTGGGGGCCTCGCAGCCCGTCCAGGGACAGAGAGACAGGGATGAGCTCTGGCTCTTCTGCTGGGTGTGGGGCTCCAGCCACCTCCTCAACAGTCTCTGTTTGGATGCATTTGCTCTGGGATTCCTTCTTCTGAACGGGGGCAGCTGCTGCTGGCTTGGGCTGCCCTGGCTGGGTGACGGTCTGTGTGGAAGCACTGGCTGCCCTTTGGGCTCCTCTTCTCTCCATGGCAGGCTGTGCAGACGTGGTGGCTGCTGATTCTGTCCTTCCCTCCTCCTCCTCATCCTCCTCAGGACGCTGCTGTACCACACGGGGTGTTTCTCTGTCTCTAAGCATGGTGTGGAGGGAGTACAGGGTGTAGAGGGTGCAGGCTACAGAGAGAAGACAAAGCAGAACTAACACCAAGACGATGATGCCATCTTTGACACCCAGAGGGAACTCAAAGTTTTCAAAAACTGCTCTGTCAAGTCTGAAAGTCAGGGAGAAACCACTCTCTGCTCTTTCCCCCAAGGGCTGGCTGTGATTGTTGAGGAGGATGCAGATGCAGCAGCCCTGACCAGGACAAGCGAACAAAAGTGAATTTCTGTTCCAAGTTATGTTCACTTCCCCAGAGGTTATCATGCAATAGATACAATAAATCAACAAACCAATTTTCATAGCATTCCCTGAGCTCAGGAGCAGCACTACAGCAGACAGGCAGCTCCCCATGTGTGGAAACAGACAGAGAGCAAGGTGTAAGAGCCGTGTAAGCACCGCGAGCACCACGGCGAACAGGAGGTTTCTGTGACACAAAATTGCAATTCTGACTTCTCTCAGGACTGGCTCCACATAGGGCGCCAAAACGTGCACCATAGTTTGACAGCAAACCAGTGGGAGATCCCAAGTCAGAACTACAATTTAACAGGAGAAATAAAATAAAGGCAGAAAGCACCAGCTTCGAGTGGCAGAGACAGAATACAACCTGGCACGCTGGTGGTCTGACCAAAGGGTGGCTGAGGCTCTCTGGGAGGGATTCTGGTTCTGTCGGGTTCTGTGATCCTGCAGAAGGGCCTGATCCTCCTCTGAAGGTCCCCTGGTGATCCTGGACCTCTTCTCCTCTGGGAACTCCGCAGGCGAAGAGTTCTCGGCGCTCCAAGTCCTGGCTTATATGCAGGTGGGACTGCTTGGCTCCTCCCCCTGGGCGGGGCATCTCGCCATGGGGTGACGTCACTTAGGAGCCATCCAGAGAGATTTTGGGGGCCACCTGCACGGAAATATCCCGTGGACAGAGTTACTGGCGCTGAGTCATGGAGGAGAGAAAGAACACTGTCCCAGCTGTTTGAACAGCTCCCGGAGATGGGGATGCATACTTTCAGTTTCATTTTCCATTCTCACCTAAGACATAACCACACCCAGGGACTGCAGTGACATCAGGAAACCACAAATGACGTCATGAAACCCAAAAGGACCTCGGGAAACCCCTGTGACCTCGGGAAACCCCTGTGACCTCAGGAAACCCCTGTCACCTCAAGAAACCCCTGTGACCTCAGGAAACCCCTGTCACCTCAAGCAGCCCCCGGGATTCTGCACCCTCAGCTCCCAGGGAGGAGCAGCCTGCAGCAGCCCAGGCACCAGAAGCAGGCCCCAGATCCAGGCTGGCAGGGGCAGGGGTGCCAGGCAGGCTCTCCCACTGCTTCCCTCCCTGCCTGGTCCCTCCATCCATCTCTTCTTCCTGAGGAGTTGGCTCCTCAGCAGCAGGATCTGAGCCAGCCACAGAACTCACCCGGCTCGTGGCAGCCCCTCAGTTCTGCTGCACACAGTCAGTACCCAGAGTCCTAAACTGGGTTAAAAAAAAACAAAGTAATTCATATTGTTCCACAGAGAAAAAGTGTAAAACATCTCAGTGGACATGAGACTGCTCATGTCTCATTCTTCCTGGCCTCTCCCAGCCCTGTACAAGGTGTTTGAAGGGAATGGCAGCTGTGGATATAACACACAGAGTGCTCATTCCCATCCACACACATTCACCAGCAGTGCTTGAATCAAATGCATCTGCTCATCTTCCCCACCTCACTAAAGAACATCTGAACAACTGTTCCCCCTTTGGCATAAAATTCCCATCAGACAGAGAAGTTCCTGTGCCTGCCAGGAACACTTCTTGGCCCAGCAAGGGCTGCAGTGTGGTGAGCCCAGGGACAAGGGCAGATCCTGACACCCTGAACAATCCATTTCTAATGGTCTTTTTTACAAATGGCACATTGACTCCTTCCCAGTCACTGTCCCGGTGGCTGCCCCCTTCCCTTTGCTCCTGGGGCTCCCTGTGCTTTTTCCCATGTAAAAACCTGTGGGGGTGTAAAAACTGCACCATTATCCTTGCCTGTACCCTCACCTTTTCATACATTCTTCCATGCCTTTCACAAACCTGGGATCCCTTTCTAAACAATTCCTGGCAGACTCAGCCACCTCTCCATCCCCTGCATGTGGGCTCTCACCCTCCCACAGCCACCAAACTCTCTGCAAACTCACTCACCTTCTCGAGGACCCCAAAAAATCCCTTTGTGTACCAGGCCAGGCCTTGGTGACACATTGTCTCTTACAGGGTACACAAAAAGTGGCCACTGTGCCATACAGGGCACACCATGGACAATGCCCTGCAGCCCTGGAGATGTTTGGTTGGTGGTTTGGGTGGACAATGCAGCCCATCCCCTAACCCCTTCCCAGATTTCACAATCTCCTGTCACTGGTGGATCAAGTGCTAACCATGGAGCTCTCCCAAGGGTTAGCAGGAAATACCCAAGCACAGATTACTCACTGTGTATTTTACTGCCCTAACAAGTGACTGAAAATCCACCCCTCCCTTTAAGGTACATTTGGGAACTTTTACAATTGTGTGATTCTTTTGTTTTATGGAATTCTTTTGTGTAATTCTTTTTGGGTTTCTTTTGTTTGTTTTTCTTTTACTCCCTTTCAACACCTTCCCTGCAATCTGTTGTTTCTAATTTGTCTCTGAGGTTTGAGCCCCTGTGGAACAGGAGAAGGAGAGCTGAAAAGATCTCTTTAATGGGGTTTGATGCTGCCATGTTTCCCTACATAATTCATGTGGTGGCAAATGTATTTCCTAGAACTTCAGTGAGAAAACCTTGGTTAGTGTCAACAGTGACACTCCCAGGATGAGCACCAACATTCCAGAGTAAGAGAAGGAAGTACAGAAAAAGAAATGCCCAGGGGCTGGTTCTAGTGACCCTCTGTGTTCCATTTTATCTTTTCATCTTTTTTCTTTTTATCTTTTTCTATCTGCTTTGGCAGCATGTCCCCAAGGGACAGCCCATCCTAAATATCTGCCCTGCAACAACACAACAATTCTCTCTTTCCCTACACACACTCAAACCTGACTGACAACAACATTCTCTGACAATATTCAGGCCTTGCTTTGTGCTTTTCACAGGATCCTTTCACTGATGTAATTAATTCTCTGCATCTGGCCAAAGATTGCATTTTTTATCTTCCTGAGCATTAACTTATCTATTAATATGTAAATGAGCAGTTTGTGGTTTTCTTGGAGCAGAAGAACTGGGCTTTTTAAACATTTTAATGCTAATTTCACCATGGTGGTCCCTTTCTGTGCTTCAAAAGTGGAAGTTTTGCTTACATTTCACTCCAGAAAGCCAAAATGAAAATCAGATTCCATTACAGCAGGGAGCACTGGCACTGGGCAGCCTCGTCCTGCCAGTGCCAGCAGGGAGCTGCTGGAGAAGCAACAATAAATGTGCTGGAAGTGGGTGAATTTGGGGAGGTAGACCCTGAACTCTGTAAGGGAAAGAACAATGTGTGGGGTGGGAGTCAGAACGATCCAGCAAACAATCACAGAATCACAGATCCCAGCCCTGGAAATGTCCAAGGCCGGGCTGGATGAGGTTTGGGGCAACCTGGGCTGGCAGAAGGTGTCCCTGCAAAGAACACACTTTTACACCTAAATTTGACTCCTACTTTGCCACTTGCACTCCAGGAAATACAAAGGGTAGATCCTTCTGTGTGTAAAACAAATAATAAAAAAAAATTCCAAACAAATAAAAAATAGTTTCCCCATGTTTTAAGAGTCCTAGATAATCTAAACTCATTGTTGTGACTTTAGGAGCAGAAGAGTCTGGCCCACCAGGAGAGTTATAATTTAACAAGTTTAATTTCATCCACAGACACATCCAGCTTTGTTTGTCCTTCACCTCTTAGCCTGGAGGGGGACTGGGCCAGGATAACTCAAATTCTGCAGTTATTGTAAGAGAAACCACAGCTTTCAGTCCTGGATTAATAAACCACATCGCTGAGAGGAGAGTGATTAAACCCACTTCTTCCTTCTGCCCTGGGTATCTTCTCCTGGCAAGATGAGAAGCCTCAGCTTCTCCATGTTTTACTCCTTTGGAATGTGATTTGGAGAACTGTTTACCCAGCATGGGAATTGGTTTTTATTAATAGTCAATCCCAGTCCAGCTGTGCCGGATTCTCTGAGTCTGTCACGGGTTTGTATTATTCATTCTTGTCCAGACTTCTGATGTCTCCTCTCTCTTTCTTTAGTATAGTTTTAGTGTATAATTTTCTTTTAATATAATATCATAATACAATAAATCAGCCTTCTGAGAGCTTAAGAGTCAATATTCATCTCTCACCTCATCCTGGGGACCCTCACAACACCCCAACACCTGGGCTGTCCTGTACACTTTGATTTCTGGAGCTGTGCTCTTTTCAGTGGCATTTCCCCAGCTGTCTTCTCCTTTATTTTCCTCTCCCCATCTGCTTTCCTCTGCCTTTCTTTCAGCCCTTTTCCAAATTCTGTTCTCCCAGGGCGATTCTGGTTTTCCTGTGAAGCCAGGTTGCCATTTGGCTCCTGCAGCTGCAGCAGGATGCACTCTGCTATTCCTTGGGTGCCCTGGAGAACAGGATGGGGAGCTACACACATTCCTCAAGTGTCCCAGGATAAAAATAATTTGCTTTTCACACAGTTGCCTTAAAAAATCGTAACTCACCAGGACAGGGGAACACAAACAAATGCATTTATTTGTGGCATAAAGGGGACAACAGGGAGGGACAGGAAAAAATAATAAAAGTAGATTTAGAATGGATACTAAGGAAGGAATTGTTCTCTGGCCCAGGGTGCCCAGAGCAGCTGTGGCTGCCCCTGGATCCCTGGCAGTGCCCAAGGCCAGGTTTGGTGGGGCTGGGAGCAGCCTGGGACAATGGGAGGTGTCCCTGCCCGTGTGTGGATGATCTTCAAGGTCTCTCCCAGCCCAAAGCCTCCTGTGGTTCTATGAGAGATCACTGGGCTGAAAGCTGCTGCTGGAGCTAAGCCCCTAAACAAAGGCAGAGTCAGTTTTCAGCCAGGTCAGCTGTACAAGGAGGCTCCCCTGCGCTTACACAAACACCAGCACGGAGTGAAAACACCTCATTCAGCAGCAGCTGCTGGCTGGGAGAGCATCCAGAACATCCTGCTGCACAGGCACCTCCAATTCCTGCAGCTGGGCATTCAGCACTGCAGAGATGGACACACCGAACGTGTCCACGGAGTGCCTCACTTGGGAGGTTCTGGCATTAAACTGAGTGAAAAAGCAGGAGTGTTGGCAAATTAAATTAAATTTTAAAAATTTAAATTATATTTTAAAAATTAAAATTAAAACTAAAATTGAAATTAAATAAATTCAAATGAAAATTAAATCAAATTAAATATAGGGGGTTCTGAAGGCTGGGAATCAGAGTCTGGGACCTGAACCAAACTCGCTGACACCAAAGCGTGTAGAATTCTTTGCCACCACCATGAAATTTTTCAAATTGGCTTAAAATCGTATTTTAAACTCAAATGACTGACTTGGAGTTTTTGTATGTGTTCTGGATCCCAAAGTCCTTAGGTTCTTCTTCATGAATTTTGCATTAAATCATAAAAGCTGGAGTTATGTTTTAAGTTAGGAAGAACTTCAAAAGTTTGGATTCTTCCTTAATCCATTGACTCAAAG